AAGAATCTGCATAGAGCACAGACCTTCCAAGACTTGGAGGTTTAGATATCAACAATCGACATGGTCTTTTGAGACCTGCGTGGTGGCTATCAGAGGTCGGTGGGCCCCTCAAAAGCCGGTGCAGGAGCCTCAGGTCACAGGTGTCAGTTTGGAGCCATCATGGACCGGTGTGGACCGGTGTGGACCCTCCCACACATAGGATAGGATGATCCTTTCATTCCTGGGATGAGTCTTCTCAGGCCTGAACTGGGCCCTCTCAGACCTGAAATGGGCCCCTCTCAGGCCTGAAGTGGACCCTCTCAGACCTCAACTAGGTCCTCTAGGACCTGAAATGGGCCCTCTCAGGACTAACATTAGCCCTCTCAGACCTGAAGTGGGCCCCTCTCAGGCTCTCAGGCCTCAAATAGGACCTCAAGGACCTGAAATGGGTCCTCTCAGGCCTGACATTAGCCCTCTCTGACCTGAAATGGGCCCCCTCAGCCCGGAAATGGTCCCTATCATGTCGAAAAAGGGCTCCCTCATACCGTAACTGGGCCCTCTCAGGTCTGAAATGGTGCCTCTTATGCCTGAAATGGGCCCCTCTCAGGCCTCAAACGGGCCCTCTCTGGCCTCAAACGGGCCCTCTCTGGCCTCAAACAGGCCCTCTAGGGCATGCCCTCTCAAGCTTGAAATGGGCCCCCTCAGGCCTGAAATGGCCCCTCTGAGACCTGAAATGGGCCCTATCAGGCCTCAAACATGCCCTCTAGGGCCTGAAATGGACCCCCTCAAGCCTGAAATGGGCCCTCACAGGCATCAAATGGGCCCTCTTAGACCTGAAATGGGCCCCTCTCAAGCCTCAAACAGGCCCTCTAGGGCCTGAAATGGGCCCTCTCAAGCTTCAACTGGGCCCCTTCAGGCCTGAAATGGGCCCTCACAGACCTGAAATGGGCCCACTCAGGCCTGAAATGGCCCTCTCATGCCATGGAACGGGCCCTCCTAGGCCTTGGATTAGTTCAATCGGGCCTTGGATGTACCCCCTTAAATAATAAAATGGGACTAAAAATCCTAAAGGGGGGGGGGGGCTATCATGCCTGAAGACTGTTTTTCAGTCCTATGACGGACCTTGACATTAGTGATAAAAAATTGTCAGGCTGCATAACGTTACAGTTCGAATCGACGGTGGGCCCCTAGGATGAGAGACGGGGGTGAGATCTCACCCCTTTCACCCCCCCTGGCTGCGCCACTGTATCAGTGTACCGACTTTTGTGTCGCTAGCTCGACGTTTCCCGGGATCAGAGGATCCCTCGTCAAAACCGTTATCCGCCCCCCGCACGCGCTGCTTGCACCCCTCGGATATTATCTCGCCGGAATGTCATGACTCAATGTATTCTTCTTATGACCTGCAAGTTTTGAACCAGTTAGAGCTGCCGCTTACCCTGCAGGCGTGGCAACGTACGAAGGAGTGCAATCGGCTTGCACGTGCATAGCTCATGCACCAAATAGTTTATTTCAACCAAATGTGCACTATTTTGGAGGCCTTGCCTGGGACTACCATTGAACCGATTTTGAGGTTGATAGCTCAAAATTTCTTTGTGCCAGAGGACCTCACGTCAAAACGGTTTTCCGCCTCCAGCACGTGCAGCCTGCACCCCTCGTAGACGGTGACCCCCCTGGAAACTGGTTCAAGGTGTTACCGATGTGTCCCGCCAGTGTGGCTTTGTCCGTGACCTCGGGTTGACCTGAAGCCTTGACCAAAAAATTCGTGTCACCGAAACTTTGAAGCGGAATAGCGTGTGCCACGAATCACTGAGCGAACCGACGCCAGCACCAAAAGTTTACCTCGCCGGAGACGAGTCGAACGGTACCACTTTGGTCCCGATCGGTCCACCCATTTTGACTCCAGGTCCAAAAAAGCTTGGACAAACTCACTCACATACTGACAAACAGGCTCGGCCGAACTTTTTTTTTCAGCGACCCACCAATGGGAATTTCCGGATGCAAAAAAATCCAATTCTGGATAAGCAGGCAGTTTCCGCTAAACCACTTGGCGAGGGCGACTGCGGCGTCCACCCGGTCCTGGTTTAACTATTCCATTTTTTGGAACCATTTGCTCTGATGGTACGTACCTGAAAAAGAGATTAATTTGGTTTAATCCAGAATTGGAGGATCAAAAGCATGCGATAGCATGCTTTTGCATCCGGAAATTCCCATTGGTGGGTCGCTGAAAAAAAGTTCGGCTGAGCCTGTTTGTCAGTGAGTGAGTTTGTCCAAGCTTTTTTGGACCTGGAGTCAAAATGGGTGGACCGATCGGGGACGAAAGTGGGACCGTTCGATTCGTCTCCGGCGAGGTAAACTTTTGGTGCTGGCCTCGGTTCGCTCAGTGCTTCATGGCACATGCTATTCCGTTTCAAAGTTTCGGTGACACGAAATTTTTTGTCAAGGCTACAGGTCAATCCGAGGTCACGGGCAAAGCCACACTGGCGGGACACATCGGTAACACCTTGAACCAGTTTCCAGGGGGGTCACCGTCTGCGAGGGGTGCAGGCTGCACGTGCTGGGGGCGGAAAACCGTTTTGACGTGAGGTCCTCTGGTTCAAAGAAATTTTGAGCTATCAACCTCAAAATCGGTTCAATGGTAGTCCCAGGCAAGGCCTCCAAAATAGTGCACATTTGGTTGAGCTAAACTCCGTGGTGCATGAGCTATGCACGTGCAAGCCGATTGCACCCCTTCGTACGTTGCCACGCCTGCAGGGTAAACGGCAGCTCTAACTGGTTCAAAACTTGCAGGTCATAAGAAGAATACATAGAGTCATGACATTCCGGCGAGATAATATCCGAGGGGTGCAAGCTGCGCGTGCGGGGGGCGGATGACGGTTTTGACTAGGGATCCTCTGGTCCCGGGAAACGTCGAGCTAGCGACACAAAAGTCGGTACACTGATAGAACTAGACACACGCTACAGGATGTTAAGAAAATGACTGCACTGGGGTGCCGGGGACATGAACTATGCACGTGCAGTTAATTCATATCTTACTGTAGGTAGATGTCCACACCAATCTCACGTGCTTCCAAACATTTTTGGGATGTTTCGGTTAGTTTCAGGTTCAGTCCAAGCTCAGTCTTGGCTCAGTCCAAGGCCATATATCTCAGTCTGTGTTTCGGTGGTTTGGCCCGGTGTGTGCCCTCAGTACCTTTCCTCCAATTCTGGCCCAAGGCAACGCAAGAGCGCTGCCGGCATCTAGTTTACATTGCATGTTTGCTTGAAAAATAACTTATTGATGCATTAATACTGTAAAAACACTTCTCATTGATCCGTATAAAATGTTCATTTGATTTTAAATGCGGACAGATAATGAGCGTGGTCGGTGATAAGTAGATAAATATTTGTGTTTTGTATTTCATTTTCCTGGTTCAGAAGTGCTAGTATTTCACAAAGATATAAAGGCACGGAATGCAGCTTTTCTGAGCGAGGGTATAAGTCGCCAGGCTAAACAGTTATTCAGCTTCATGTTTGATGGCGTCAAACTCAGTCAAAATCATGACGTTTACATACGATCAAGCGCACCATTCAATACACTTACCTACCGTAAAACTCCATGCCAGTCCACTTGATAAGAGCAGTGAGCACTATCCCTTCTTCGCGCTGTCACACGCGCCCAAACATCAACCACCAAATGCCCCAACACCGGTGTGTCGTTTCGTCGCACAGCGCACAGACTGTCACAAACGCTGCACATGATTGGCGCAGAACTGCGCATGCGCGAACAGCCGAACAAGTATGGCTAAGCTTCGGCTTTACTCCAGTTAGCCGAAGGACACAGCCAGCTTGATCAGCCCGCGCTCCGCCCAAGTTAAGCCTGTTTTGGATGCGCGGGCAGATGTCGGGCTGAGCTACTGCTATCCGCACGTGGGCATAGCTGCGGCATGCCCCAGCTCAGCCCTAGTAAAAAATACATTGGTTTTGATCAAAGTGGGCAAACCCAAGCTAAGCCCAAGCTGCCCGACGCTTGCCACAGTTCAGCCCAAGCGAATTGCTGGCTGGGCAACGCGCCAAAAATTTCGGCCGGCGGCGGGGACCTAGTCACCTAACCATAGTTGTTCGATCACGAGGCGAGTGTGCTAACCACTACCCCACGCAACCAGCTGGCCGGACGGAGGTGTAAGTCACTTTTCAATGACGCAATGGGATATTCTCCGTATAGCGCCTTCCTTTGGTTGGAAAAAATAATTACGCCGCCGAATCGCGATTCCGGCCTATATGTGGTCTATGATATACCTAGGTAGGATGCCAAATTTTAGATCGATATTCGATACCTCCCTTTTTGGCCAAGTTATAGCGAAAAAACTGTTCAAAATTGATGACGTCAATTTTTTAACTCAATTTTTAGCAATTCTAGACCACGTAGCGCAAAACAAAAACCACCATTGGATTCCCCGGGACGAGCTGCATCGAATCGATACCCATTTTATGCAAAATATCAACTTTGAAATTTGACCTAATTTGACCTGACCTTGACCTGACCTTGACCAGAACATAATCTGAACTGACCCCAAAGGCTGCCTGACCCACATAATCGTATTTGTCATATAAAATGGACCATAAAACATGCATCCAGCATCACATGATATTTTCATATTGTGACCCTCAGTGACCTGACCTCTGTGACATGACCTGTTATCAGTGACTTTAAATAGCAAAATATGTGTTTGACGAACATTTCCCCATCGATGATATTCAATGAAATGCATTTTACTCGATTTTACAACGCATTTCTCGAAATGCCTGTAAATGGCGAAAATTCGACCTTTGACCTGATCTGTGACGTCATCAGTTTGACCTAGGTCAATGAAATTTGGTCAGAAGGTAGTTCCCTGATGGGGCTATCCAACACCGTTTGCCGCTTGTCGCTATGTTGCGTGGTTCTCGAATCTCGACTAGGGAGGGCAAAACGGCCCCCCGGGCACGCGACCCGCGAGGGATAGCGAAAGTGTCAACGACAAGCAGATGTTCCAGGACCAGTGCGAGGTGGTGCACCCGCTGTTGTTCGACCGCCGGTATCGTGCTGTCGGCCGGTCCGTTGTGATTCTAGTGACGTCACTCGGGCCGTTATTGGTGGCCAGTGTGTGTATACTGCGTCTTTGTGTGCGTCACATTTGTCGGCTGACATCAGCTCAGTGTTGGCTGCCGACGCGATAAGGCTGTCATTGGCGGCTCTGGCGGTTCGGATAAGATAGGGCTATGATCGACACCGCCAGAAGCCCGGCCGACATCAGTGAGCGGCCAGCTGCCGGAAGCACCGCCCCGTCGAGGGCGCGGCACTGGTCTGCCGTTCGAGAGGCGCTGACCAGGAGCGGTGGCTGTGAACGTTTGAGCCGAACGGCGCATGCTGCCGCGGAGGATGCACCGATCGGCGGGTCCTCGACGGCCGGCCGACTGGCCCCCACCCCTGCGGAGGGGTCTGCTGGGCCCAGCACTGCTGCTGGCGGTCCTGCTGATGACCAGCTCCAGCGCCAGGGCGTCCTCCAGCGCCAGGGCGTCCTCCAACACCGTATCTCGACTGCTGGGCTGTCGGACGGCCGCGGAGGACCAGCTGCTGCAGGGGGCGGCGTTCAGCACGCCAGCAGACGGGGTCGACTGCGCCGCCGTCTGCCAGCAGCAGGAGTCGCTGCTGGCCGTCAGCGGCCAGCGCTGGTGTTTCTGTGTGAACCAGCCGGTCAGCGCCGCGGAACTGACGGCCAACTGTTCCGGTACCGCGCCGGACGGCCTGCAGCTCCTGCACGTGTACTCCGTCACTGAGCCGGCGGCGGGGGGCGCCGCACTCCTCTCCGAGCGGCCGCCGTCCCCGGCCAGCCCCGTGTCGGAGCGCTTCCAGGTCGGCTCGGTGTATCTCCAGTTCGACCGGTGTGCCCTCTCCACCGGCAGCAGCAACGAGCCGGCCAAACAGGTGGACCTGTGCGTGCACACGTGCAGCGTCAACTTCGGCGGCGGGTTCATGGCGCTCGGCCCGTCCGAGGGCAACTCTGTGCTGTACGAGTGCCACTGCAGCGACCAAGACCTCTTTGGCAAGTCGCTCGACCCCGCCATGTGCGTGGAGCAGTGCAAGCGCCCCGGCGAGGTTCTTCACGACACCACGTGTGGTGGTAAGACGTCCGACGGCGCCACGGCGCTCAGCGTCTACCGCCTGCTGGACGACATCCCCGGCTCGACGCCGACGCCGGTGACGACGCGCAGCTCGACGGGCCTCTCGTCGTCGGTGAGCGGCTTCACGGACTCGGCGTGTCCGGACGGCGGCGTCCAGGTGGGCGGCGGCAGCTGCTACCGACCCGAGGCCGTCACCGGCGACATGACCCGACCAGGTACACACCGGCCCACCCGGCAGGCACTGGCTGACCGGGAGGCCGCAATACAATGGACATGACTCTCAGGACGGGCTGCTATAATGTACGAGCGACTGGCAAAACGTATTTTTGACACACTTTAAATATCGAATGAAATGACGGATAAATAATCGCCAAATGAAGTTATAAAATATAATGCAACAATATTTAGCATATAGTGTTAGGTGTATTTTTTACGAGTTACTGCCTGCTTTGAACTGATAAACCAGTATAACGCCTTATGGGGCGACTAACGGAGCGAGCGAGAGGGTGGGCCTTGCACGTGCGAAATTTCGAGGGGGTACCTCCAACTGACTTGTGCACGGCACCCTACTAACCGGTCTCTAGCGATGTGCCAAATTTGAGCACAATCGGCCCAGCCGTTCTCGAGATCTGGAAGCGGCACCCTGCACGTGCGCACGTGCAAAATGGGTCCCAACTGACTTGTGCACGGCACCCCACTAACTGGTCCCTAACCGTGTACCAAATTTGAGCGCCATCGGTCCAGCCGTTCTCGAGATCTGGAAACGACCCCTGCACGTGCGCACGTGCAGCAGCACCCCAACTCTGGCACATGGATATGCAGTGCCTAGTGGGTGCCTACCTACATGCCAACTTTCAGCATAATCGGCCCAGTAGTTACCGAGATATTGCAACAATTACAAAACTGACACGTCTTCGTTTTGCACGTGGCACGTGCATAAGGGGTCACCCACATGCATCGGGAATAGTTCAATACTTGGTAGAAGGAATGAAGCTACCCTACAAAAATTACCCCGTGTAAATCGGTCAAGTGGTTGCTGAGATATAAGCCTCGCAAAAGCGTCCGCACGGCCGGCCGGCCGGCCGGCCGGCCGGCCGGCCGGCCGCTCATACTCAGAAATTTCCGTTAATCTAAGGAAAGACTCCGCTCGCTTCGCTCGCTCCGTAATCATCACACTCAACTGATCTGATTCGCCCCCGGGCAGACGACCCTCGCACCTACCAGGAGGCGGTCGACGCGTGCTCTCGACTATCAAACGGCGGCTGGCGGCCCTGGGCAGTTGAGACCAAGGAGGAGCGCGATTCCGTGTTTCAGATCCTGCTAGTTGACATGGGCTTCCTTCAAGGTAAATAAGCGACTAAAGAAAATGCAATGAATGAAATGCCAATGAATTGATTGGATTGAAGGAGTGACATGACCAAAATTGGTAACAGATGCACGAACGAATGATATAACTAAATGGAATGGCTAACAGTAACACGTACGACAGTGAAATAAATAAATGTCACTAACTTATTAACTCGTAAGCGCAGTAAATAAATAGCGTGCATGGCTGCAAGTGCGGCAGATGACCCCGCTTACCCCGCATACCCCGCTTACTTATGACCCCGCATTTCTGCGCCGCCTCACATTTGTGTGCATTTTGACAGGTAATGTCGTCTGCATGCCGTCGATATTGTATGACGTCTGTGTGCCGTCAGACACCTCTATATGCCGTGTAACACGTCTGTGCCCCGTCTCCGTGCGCGCGCCTTTCAGACACGAATGACGTGGTGACCAGCGGCACGGTGCAGGCGGACGGCTCCACGGTGCAGTGGGCCGACTGGCCCGGTGACCCGGCCGCCGGCTGGCTGGCCGGCACCACCAGCGGCACGCCCACAGCCGGCGACGTGCTCGTCTGGGAGAACATCCAGGGCGCCAGCGCCGAGACCACCACAATGCGCTACTACCCACCGGACAGCCTGCCCAGCACGGTGGCCGTCATCTGCGAGCTGCCCACCGCAACCACCACCTCATGTGAGTACAAACTAAATGCTCTGCGCTATCCGTCCGGCTTGCCACGTTCTTGGTTTATACTTGGTAGGGTATTCAGCTATTATAAAAACTTTGAATTATAATTAATGAAAATCATACAATGCGAAGCAAAACCTCTCTGACTTTCGGCAGTTCTGTCACCACAAATAAACCAAAGGTTTGTTGGGGAGACAATTGGTAGGAAAGTTTCTTCTTCTTCTTCTTTGTACGTTTTGGCACCAGTTCTGGACTCTGGTGAGATCTGTCGCGCTTGCATCGTGTTGCCAAGCAAGTAGTTATGGCACAGCATCGGCAATCTATGCACAGGTCGCTGGGTACTCGCCACCTATCATGGCTCGTAATGACACTCTGATATGACCTCACTTAGCTTCCAGCAATCGTAGTTTGTCGAGCACTCATGGGCTGTTGCCCTTCAGGAAAAGTGCTAGGTACATGGGCATTGGTGGTTTCGGTGAAATTTGGGTTGAACATATGTTCGGTAGGGTAGGGTGGGGTAATTTGAACATATTTTTTACGTCCTTTCCGTCGTATCAAATTCCAGCTCAACCCCGGATGAACAAAAACTGTTTCAGTAGTGCAAATTTCACTGGCTTTTACCATGCAAGTCTCATTTTTGGACGAGCCGAGCATACCATGAATAGCATAGCCTCACTTCTCCACCAAGTCACGGTGTGTTCAAATTACCATACCGTTAGGCAATTTGAACATACTGCCTTTACGTGCCAGAAAACGATCATCTCGCCAGCACCGATGTTGTTTAATTCATAAACAAATAGGCAGAACAATTTAAAGCATACCCTCGATTCAAAAATACACACAACAAGTATAAAAGTTGCAGAGTAGTTGCAGAGTATCAATATCTGCACGCTGCACACCGTTCAGTTCACAGAAGTCGCCTCCCTTCAATTACCTAAAAGAGCGTCTATCATTTCCGATCGATAAAAACTCTCTCAACCTTACTTTATCTTGGTGCCAATCGGAACCTGGACATTCGGATTTCCGATTTTGTCCAATGTTCTATTCAGACTTGGTTGGACAAAGGTAACAAACTGGACAACATTAACCCGCGCCGGGCCGGGGGGGGGGGTTTGAACACCCCCCCCCCCTGTGGTTTTTCGCAGATATCGCGCCGCACATGTTGTGAAACTTTCAGACCCAGGTCGCCTAACGTCAGGTCACTAGGTCACGCCAAGTGACTTCACCTCAGAAAAAAATAAGAATGCTTGTCATAGCTACACGGACTGAACGATTGCCTTGATACGTTCAGTGATTGATAAGAGTAACATTATCTATAAAATGTTTATCTCGGAATTTTTATATCAGTGACCTAAGGTCAGGTCAATTTTGCGGCCTCTCCATTATAAGTCAATGGGAGAAAATTGAAAAGCGTCTGTTTTGCGCGAACGCTATTCTAGACACTCTCAAACATCGAGATGTAGGTAAAATTGACACACTGAACCGGAAAATGGCAACTATGACCCCTCGTTATGTCCCCGAGGTCATCTCAGGTCACGAACAGAATCTAACAGTTTTTCGCTAATTACTTCTGATAGAGGCGTGCTAGAGCGATGACAACGCCTTAGGTGTGTTTGGCTCGACGTTGCGGATCGACTGATATGCAACATAACCTGTTCCGGTCAGGTCATGACCTTGACCTGAGGTCAAATTTTCAAGTTGACCTTTCAAGGTCAAAATATAGTTCATTCGACGCGTCTCGACGAGAAAAACACGATGCTGGCAAAAGTAATGTCATGGCTCTTTTGAGTCAAAAGTAATTGCCGAAAAAACACTTTTCGTAAAAACGGCTATTTTCGGAGTTTTTGCCCTCTGGAGGCTAAACCGTTGGCTTGAGGTCAAATCTGAGTGCAATACTCAAGAAAGGTCGGTAAAAGGGCTATCGAAAGCGCTTTTCCGAGGCGCTGTAGCTCTATCGGTTTCCGAGATAGCCGTCGGCAGTTTCCAAAATGTTGAAATAGTCAAGAATTTACCTTTGGTGACCTCTGGTGACCTGACCTTTGACCTGACCCAAAAAATGACCGAGGTGTTTTCGTCCTTATTTTGGACGTTCTTTCGATTGCCGCTTACCGCGTGTCGCTACGTGGCCCAGGAGCCGAGTTAGAAGGGGGGAGTGTTCAGACCCCCCCCCCCGGCCCGGCGCGGAAGTCTCGGAGCACCGGCCCGGCGCGGGTTAACCCGCGCCCCGTAGGGCTACCGGCGGACCCTACCACCTGTAGGGGGGCCGTCTCGCCCCCCCCTAAGATCTCGGAAATTTACCGGCCGATTTTCAAAATTCAAACGGCGTTCGATAGCCCCACTAGAGAACTACCTTGTGACGAAATTTCATTGACCTAGGTCAAACCAATGACGTCACAGGTCAGATCAAAGGTCGGATTTTCACCGTTCACAGGTATTTCAAGAAATGTGTTGTGAAATCGAGTAAATTAGTAAGGTTTTGAAAACCATCGATGGTGCATTGTTCGTCAAACACATACTTCGCTATCTGAGGTCACTGATACCAGGTCAGGTCACAGAGGTCAGGTCACTGGGGGTCACCTGGGGGTCACAATATGAAATATAGGTCACAATATGTTTTGCCCAACGGGGTCTAGATAGAATTGACAAAAATTGAGTTTGAAAATTTGACGTCATCATCTTTGAACAGTTTTTTTTCGCTATAACTTGGCCAAAAAACGAGATATCGATCTGAAATTTGGTATGTGGATAGAAGACGGTAGGTACTATCACATATATTCCGTTTTTTTTTTGAAACTCAAAACTTTTTGGATTTTTTTGGCTAATATTTCCAACAAATTACTTTTTTGATTTTTGGGGGTCAAAATTCGAAAATTTCAAAAATCGGAGACAGCAGTTTTGTAGCCCTGTCAATTCTACACCTTTTATGTCTTGATCATTATTCTGTATTTTCAAAGCTGTAGGCCTGACAGCTCTTCTCGCGAAGGTCTTTTTTCGGTCGAAAATGGCAGAACATGAGTCATTCTGACGTCATTTGTGGCCAACCTGTCATAGCCTCTGGAAAATTTTTGGTCACAATGTGTAAAATTGATGCTGGGAGGGGTTCTGAAAGTTTGGTGGCGATATCTTTTATCGATATCGTTTAGGAGATATCGACGGAAAAGGACAGGGGGCCGTTTCGCCCCCCCCCCCCTACGGGGCGCGGGTTAAACGATGGCTTGCTACAGTTCAGCATTTGTATAAAGTAATCGTGCATAGCATTTATTGGCGAATGGAAAGCTTAGGTAGGTATTAGGTAAGCTCTCAACATAATGAACACTTTTCGGCTGGTAAAACCAGTAAAACGCCTTTTGGGCGAAGAACGAGCGAGCGAGATAGTGAGCCCTGCACGTGCGGAAGGGCGAGAGGGTGCTTCCAACGGGCTTGCGCAAAGCATCCTTCTAACCGGTCGCTAGCGGTGTGCCAAATTTGAACGCAATCGGCCCAGCCGTTCCTGAGATCTGGAAGCAGCATTCTGCACGTGCGCACGTGCAAACGGGGTCCAAAATGACTTTTGCACGGCACCCTACTAACTGGTCCCCAACCGTGTACCAAATTTGAGCGCAATCGGCCCAGCCGTTCTCGAGATCTGGAAACGCCCCCTGCACGTGCGCACGTGCAGTAGCACCTTAACCGCAACACATGGGAATGCATTGCCTGGTGGGTGCCTACCTGTATGCCAAGTTTCAGCGAAATCGCCCCAGTAATTACCGAGTTACTGAAATGGGAACAAATTTGGCACCTCTTATTGTTGTATTTTGCACGTGCACTGGGGGTGACCCACATGCATCGAGAGTATCCTATTTTGGGTAGAAGGGATGCTGCTACCCTACAAAAATTACCGCAAGTCAATCGCCCAAGCGGCTGCTGAGATATGAGCCTCTCAAAATCACTACTTTTGCAAAACAGCTTGAACACCCTTGTCTTTTCACGTGGCACGTGCCACGACGGTCACTGAGATGTATCAAAAGTAGTCAATTACGGGGTAGAAGGGATTGGGCTACCCAACAAAAAAGACCGCAGGCCAATCGGTCCAGCGGTTGCTGAGATATAAGCCTCTCAAAAGCGTTACAGGCCGGGCCGGGCCGGGCCGGGCCGGGCCGCTCATACTGAGATTTTTCCGTTATATTGAAAAGACTCACTTCGCTCGCTGCGCTCGCTCGCTCGTAATTACTTACTTTATAAGCAAATTAAAGTACATTTTTTAGTGTTGATTACTGCATAATTTTCGGACATATTTGGGTAAATGGCGGACTTGAACATTTTTGGCCGGAAAATCAACGAAAATGCCGGACTTTGGACGGATATTTGACATTAATATTCTAAAGCTGGCATCAATAATCTGCCACTGCCATGGCAATAGATTTTTGGGTCTTGGTTTGTCCAATTCAAAGCCTGCATCACCAGTCTTCAGGGGTCTCTGGAAGCCAAGTTGCCCGAGATTTGGACATTTTTAAACAGAATGGGTTATCTTCAGGTCAGGTCAATGACATGAGCGCCATAGAAACCAGGGCTTTCTACATTTTAGAAATGGGATTTCACTCGCTTGTTTCTTTTTGTGCTAAAATAATTTTTTTTTCTCTCCATATATATACAAGTGGTATTAGGCATAGGTGTGTCGTCTGTCAGGTCCGGTCCGGTCAAATTAGGTCGTTGGGTACTCTAATTTTGTTTATGCGATTGCAGAAAACTCTTAGTAACCATTTATGACGTTGCTTGAACTGAAATAAATAAATTTGGTGTCATGGGCATAGGCGGCGGAACGGGGGAGGGGTGGGCACCGGGGCACCGGGCCCCCCTTAATTCTACCATTTTAACATTAGTCCTAATGGACGTTGCATGGAAAGAATGGGACCAAAAGTCGGCAGTGTCCCCCCCCCCCCCGCTTAATTAAAGGCGTTCCGCCGCTATTGGTCATGGGCGCAGTTTTAACTCTTCAATCGCCAACTGCGTCATACGAGGGTAGTTCGATAGTTCAAGAGATTGCTGTCGAGAGAAATCTTCCTTTGTAATTGTAATAAACATCAGCTGTGCCAGTATCTGCTGTATGCTGCAATTATCCAGGAGAAACCTTATATGCACCAAAAATCGCGTATAATTCAAACAAGCATCACATGCACACTTTTCGCAGGTGGCAAATCGCTTCATCATCTTAATCGTGCAAGACGAGTAACGTGCGGGTCAACCTGATCTTTGCAATGTTTCGCAACATGTCAAACAATTATCCACCGGGCCTGCAGCCTGCCCAGCGGGGTCGGGTCAGGTCACATGACCGAGGACCTTCTTTGCCAGTCGTTTGAGCCGGCCGGCCGCCCGCCGGCTGCGCGCTCCGTGCTTCTTCCCCGTGTCCGTCATCACACCGGCGGTGATTTTCTCGGAAGCCTCAATAACCTCCTCGCGCATTTCTGAGCGCAGCTCCGGCGTCGGCTTCGCGGTCGTGGTCGTGGTCGTTGAGGGTCGCGGCGGCCCTCGCGCGGGCACCAGCGCCTCTTCGATCCTGCGCCAGATCTCGACGGTCGCGCGCGGCCGGCTGTTGTTGGCTGTGCGGGAGTCGTACAGCTGCAGCTTGGGACGCATACAGACAAAGTCGAGCTCTTTCTCGCACTGCTCGTGTAGCCACGTGCCGGTCTCGTCCTCTAGGTAGACGCACTTGTGGTTCGGGTCGTACTTGTCGTGTTTGCCGAAATTTTCGTAGCTCATAATGGCGCCGTCAGCCCAGCGGTGGAAGCCGTCGTCGGTATGAATAAGACCGAGCCAAATGGTACTGCCTGTTGATGGATGAGGAGCGTTAGAGTGACAAATGACGAGTTTTATGTTGGTTCATTTATAATTTTGGACAAACCATCAATTGCGTCCCTGTGTAAACGATTCTGTATAAGCTTGACCGAAGTTTTACTTTTGTTACGATTTACGGCGAGCGGCACGCAACAGCTCTAATTTCGCATATTTATTTCTGTCTGTTGCCTTTAATATCGCAACAAAGGCAACAGAAAGAAATACATATGTATGAGTACTAATATTGTCTTGCAGGATGCAGGCAGCTTACTTCAAACTTTTATAAGTGAGTATATTAGAACTTTATGCTCCACAATAAACCCACCAGGTAATCGATTCTGACAGCAAAACTGACAGTTAATCACGTCCCACAAACACTTACCTGCAAGCCGAGCAAGCCGACGAAGGACGTCGTTTTGCCGAGCGTTGAAGATGGCCACGAACCGGGCGTCCATTTGAAGACAATAGGAGCCCGCGTCGTTCCACGTCTTGACCTGGCCGGGTGTGGAGAAGTTGTAGCAAAATTCACCGGCCCGGATCCAATCAGGACCACCACATGTCTCCATATGAGGCACTTTGCACAGTGCCGGCTGTCCTTTGCCCTTACCACCTTCTTTCTTTTTTCCCTTCTTCTTTGCAGCTCTTCTTTTTCGTATGTTTTGATGGATGCTAGAATATCCGCTGCGTTTTGGTCTTTTTTGCTTTACTTGAATTTTACTGGTGATTTTCTCCTGGATACCGGCGCCCTCTTCCGCCTTCTTATCTTTCTTGCACGATATACCATTTTGCCACTTCTTTGACATTGTCAACTGCACACATCCGGTAGTGTTGCTTACCGGCACCTTCTCGTCTACCCAGTTTGCATAGTCGAAATATGTGCGATCGCTCCATCGCCACTTGTCTTTAACCAGTTGTAATCCAATCCAAGCGGTGATATTGCGAGTAGCGATCCAAGCCACCTCATTTTCTTCCTCGTTATGAATGCTAGCCAGATGAGCAGAAGGATGAAGTTTACGGCAGAGACTTTCGGCAAAGTTGAACGTTTCACTTCTGTCATCGGTCATTCGGAAACAGAAGTCTTTGTGAGATTTCCAACCGTCAGGACAGTCGGATACACAAAATCCCACCATCGACAATATGATGAGAAGATGAAGATGCCAATTCGCTTCAACATATCGAAGCCGAATGACTTTTGGTTGCCTCTTGCAATATTTCTTCTCATGACATTCACTGTGAAAGGCGATGCCAATGTGCTTACTCATGTCCATAAGAGTAAGTCTCGCCCATTGCAAAGAAAAGAAGCTGGAGAGAAATACAAACCGAACGTTATAAGCGATACGTCTTCCAGTCGCAAGCGCATAACAGGCATCATTTAAACGAGCAAATGTTTGTTGCATAAATAGTTATTTTGGCTTGTTCTCGGACTGCATAATTTCTTGGAAGTTTTGGTTTGACTTTGAAATCCCTTGAAAAATAGTGTCGTTGGTGAAAAAGCGTGATTTTGAATTCGATCTTCTCCCAGGAGGAATTCGTTCATTTCCTACTTTATTGGCATTTATTGGGCTGATGTGGCCGATTCGTTTCGCTTTTTGCTAAGTTTAAGCCAGGCATTTAGTTATCCCTTCTACTAAGACTGTGCATATTTTTGTGAAAAAAAAAAACAAATTGTGCAATAATATGGGTACGCTGAACTGCTACTTGTGTTAGCATTATTATGTTGTGTAAAATTTGGCTCAAAGGTCGCAAAATAAATCGACTGATTACGAAAATTAAGAAAATTTATATCATTAGATGGTCTTTCTCCACGAATGTCGTTAAAATGAAAAACTCCTCTTAGCCCTCGCCGGCCGAGGGGGGGGGGCGGGTGCCGCCCCCCCCCATAGGGTTTTTTTCGCGATAGCTCCGAACACGCTGGCGATAGAGAGCTGAAACTTGGCATACCTAACCTTTGATCCAAGCCGCATCTTTTGACACCAACCGCATTTTTGGGTCAGGTCAGGTCACTGACCTATGACGTCATAAGTGAACCTCTGCACGGTCTTCAGATGTCGCAACTTCGCAACGCCCTCACTGCCAGAGGAGATGTCACAGGGAAATGAAACTTGGAGGATCTAGTATCCATTATGAGTCTCACAACTTGTATATCTCGGATTTTTCCTAAAGGTCATATGAGGTCAGGTCATTTTCGTGACCTCACCATTAGGTATAAGTCAATGGGGAAAAATTCAAACTGCTATTCTGGCGCCGGGAACGATCTCCAACTATCTCAAGCACACAGAATCGTGATTTGATGCACTCCTTGCAAGGTTAGATGCGTCACTTTTGCAATGTTGACCTTCCGTGACGTCATTTATGACGTCATCAAGGTCATATTAGTTTTTCGTCAATAACTCCCGATCAAATTGAGCTAGCGAGTCGGGAAAGCCACCAATGGACTCAGGAAGACCTGCCGAATCGAATGATATGCGACATGACCTCTTTCGACCAACTTCGTGACCTGGGGGTGCTGACCTGACCTTGACCTGAGGTCAACACCCCAAGTTGACCTGACCCGGACAAAAAGTATATCATTCGACGCGCCTGATCAAGGCGAACACGATGCCGCCAAAATCGCGGCTCTGCGGCCGTTTTTTGCGAAGTTATTCACCAAAAACTGAACCGTACCCTGGGGCACTTGACCTGACCTCAGAGGTCACCGGTTGACCTAGGACCTTAAAATCGGGTACCAATCTCTGCGTCTCGTAACGGCGCACACGCTCGTTTTTTCCGCGACGCGCTAGCTCCACCAGGGGCGAAACGGCGAGGGGGGGTCGTACCCGCCCCCCCCCCCCTCGGCCGGCGCGTATGTAGAAAACCAATAGGTCCGGCGAGGGTTAAAGGGACCCTCCCACCTTAACATTAGATTTGAGTTGAGATAGCCAAAATGGGGTCCCTGGCTCATAATTACCGGTTTCGGCACTCACAACATCGAGAAATGCCTTAAATCGGAAATATTGAATTTCAAAATTGCAGCATTTTGATTCAGAGGGGCTAATGCTTAGGAATACCCCTCTGAATGTGTGACGTCAGCGCAGATATCTAACGATTTTTAAATGTTTGACTAAAACGTTTTGTAGCACGTGCTGGTATATGCTATTTGCGCGCAACATCTGCCGCAAACGCCGCACTTCTAAAATAAAGTCGCTAGAAACAGAGGAGATCCCAAAAAAGTAAACAAAAGTAAAAGTCTAATATCTTGAAAACCGGTGAATATTTTTCGGTGAAATTTAGTAGATATTCGTTTTCGCTCTTTCTGAACCGAGCGACATCACTTTCATGCCAATTCATAAACTTTTTTGAAGGTGGGAGGGTCCCTTTAATTGGAAATAGTATTAAATAGTTCCATTCATCGCAAATTACCTATCATTTATTTCAACGATAGGTGTGGCATAAGCAAAGGCTAATGGCCTCAACCGCGGTCATCGCTCTCGCTGGTCAGCGGTCATCTTATGTTGAGGATAAAATGCGCGGTTTAGCGGGTTAGGTGTAGCTTGATTCGTATTTTCCTTCATATGGAGGGAATATTCAGCCTCTTCCGCTTTTTACATGCATATGTACTATGTAAAGATGTCGACATTGCTACGTTTGTACCGATTTCAGCGACCACACCAGAAACTACGACGTCTTCTCCCACAACTACGGATCTGACGTCAACAACTGCGGACACCACGTCATCCACAACCGCCGCTACATCAACCACACCCGAGCCCCGACCATCGACGACATCTTCTCCCACAACCACGGATCTGGCGTCAACAACTCCGGACACCACGCCATCCACTGCAACATCAACCACGCCCGAGCCCCGACCGCCATCACCAGACGACGTCATCAATGACCTCATCGACAACTTGAATGGAACGACATCGTCCAACATCACCGAGTCAGACATTATCGAGACGGTTGATCAGCTGGATACCATTATAGATGCTCAGGTAAGATGCCATTTTGTGCTCAGATCAATAATAAAAAGCAGCGACACTATTCATATTGAAGTCATATTGATATGACTAAAGCAACTCGCATTTATATTGTAACCTAAAAAACATTAGGTAAACGATAGTGTGCCTTCATGACGTGCAGCTGTTTACTGATTTCATGTCACAAGTGAGCAGATAGATGGTTGCATGAGTGGCTTCCTTGCTATTAGCATATACCTACCTACTGAACCTTTAATGCATTCATTTTCACAATAGACAATAAATCGTGCTCAATTCGAGCACGAGTGCCTGACTTTGAAAATCGACCCTGCGCGGTTTGATCGCATTGATATAATCGCTTGTCGACCTACGTAAGACATATTTATGACAGCGCTATCGCCTATCAGACTCTTGTGCTGCAAAAAGCAAAACAAAATGAGGGTAGTGCCGGCAGATGTAGCCCGTGTTCGATATCACTCGGACGACGAAGATTCTTCGTCGTCCGGCCAATCCCGTTCAAGGTCAGCGGGGGCTCGGCTGCGGTCATGGAACGTGATTGGCCGGATGACGTAGAATCTTTCGTCGTCCAAGAGACATCGAACGCGGGGTAGTGAATTGGCTATAAGTGTGCGAATGCTGCATTTAGGTATAGGTTCCACTAACAATGGCTCGCGTCTATGCACGTTTTTAGTTGAACGAGAGTTACGGCCTGCCTCCCGACGAGAGGCTCGACAATGACCGGCAGTTCACCGTGGACTTTGTACAGCTGGTGGACACCCTGCTCCGTGCCACAGATGCCTGGAACAACATGACACAGGTACTGACCTGACCTGACCTGACCTCACCTCACCTCACCTCTCCTGACCTTCCAGGCCGTCGGGTCGGATAGGATGTGACCACGGCTTATTCGGCTGCTACCGAATCTCAAACACACTCCAGCAGTTTCGTTTTGCCATTCAGGTTGTCATGTCTTTTTAAACAAGAACATAAGGTTTCAAACGAGCTGTTGTGGGCGCTGCTCTCGGTCAAGAGACTCTTGAGATACGCCGAAGCCCGAATGTGCCAACTTGTTACCGAGGCTTCTATCGCGATGCTGACAAACAGCAGTGCGCGATAGCTGTTCAGATAGGGTTTTATTCCGCCTTATCGTGGTTAACCTGTTCAATACGAGTGCTCTGCCGTTCATATTCCGCCCCATTGAACTGCTCGCTACTGTTGGCCCACGATCGACTTTTCGGTAGTTTTGATAAGCACCGTTTATCTCGCGTCCCCTCTGAAACAGAGTCAGATGGAGGAGACCTCCACCAAGCTGATGGCCAGCACGGAAGCGGCCGGGTTCATGCTGGCAAACAGCACTGCCGTGGCCGGCTATGACGATGTGATAGAGACATCCCAGGCGTCGCTGACGCTGTCAGCCAGTTCCGTGAACAGGTCAGTTCGAGAGCTAACGGAATTTGTCGGTCATGCGACATCGCCGCTTTCAGTTTTCAGTGCAGGGCATTGTTCGTCGTTTTTGCAATCAATTATTTGGATTTTCTTGTCCCTCCTTCACTCGAAAAAGAGCCTGACAAAATGGAGAAATGATCCTCAATGCAGTGTTCAACAAATTATCCGACATAATGGAATGCTATAACCCATTTCGTGCCCCTCCGTTCCCCCAGGAACAGCAGCGGCGGGTTCCGTTTCCCGAGTGAGTCGGCGGCGTCCAGCTGGATCTGGCTGCCCGTCGGGTACGCCGCACAGGTCGCCGCTGACCTGAGGTCAGACCGGCTGGCACAGGTGGGCGTCCTGTACCACACCCGGCTGATGGAGCTCATGCTCTCGCCCGCCAATAACAGGTGAGATTGCTCGAGTGCGGCTCAGAACAAATGCAGTACCCGATAAGGGACTGACAAACACGTTAAACCCCGCTATACGAAGTTCAATGTCTCGGTTGAACGCTATCAGTCTGGACCTGGGACAAGGATTTGCTCACAGTTTATGTATCTGTAACAGGCGAGGTAGCTTTAAACTTAGTGTTAAAGCTGTTAATAAACGCCAACTGTTTCATCTGGCCACAGCCATCGGACTATCCTAACGTTTCGCTGTTTCTCATGCCATGAGTCCATGACTAAGGCTGTTCAAAATAAAAACTGAGTGGACAAAACTATGTCGGTGATTCCATTGGGTTCCTGCGCAATCCAGCATTGCCGATTAATTGTCACGTTTGTTATCGCACTATCGATAATTCTAATCCTGACGAAACATATTTATGACGCCACGAAATGTGATCATTCCTACGAATGACAATGAAATTTATGGGTAATTCATAAAAACGCAGTCAAACATCCACGGCAGCGGGCGCGGTGCCTGTGTGGTGTGGCTGATCTCACGACTCGATACGACAGATAGCTGTGAATTGTGGCGCCCTACCAAGAACTCCGCCGTGTGTGTTCGGTGTTTACTACTTCGAATCGTAACAGCAAAACTCGGAAATCCCACATCATCCAATCGATCTCGTATCAACACTGCGTTTCTGGAAGCACCAGCCGCAGACAAGGGACACGTTGTTGCGACTATCGAGTCTCACATCTCGGGATCCCTTAGAGTGGACACTTGGCAGTGGACAAATGGTATCTTTGTTTCTGTTCAAGCTCAACTCATGAAATTCCCATGCACTCGCAGCTCACGTTTTCCGACCCCGTTTCCGCAGTATGGACGACGTCGGGAAGCGTCTGAACTCCCCTGTGCTGAGTTTCTCGCTCGGCGACGGGGACGCCCGGGTGCAACTGCCCGGTCTCATGGGTGCGCAGCTTCACCTGCAGTACTCCCTGACAGAGCGGGAGCCGGCACAGACAGAGGTGTGGAGACACCTGCACCCTGGCGAGGAGCCCTCGGCCGTCAGAGGCACGGCCGTCTGCGCCTACTGGAACGAGACACTAAGGTGAGCTTCCTGACGGGCCCTCCGCGCTCACTTAGGAGAGCCGCCTGACCGGATGTGTGCGCCTACTGGAATAAAACGCTGCAGTGGGCCGCCTGACAGACCGTCTCCTACTGGTTAGGCTGGTAAAATCCTGAAATGACTACGTACCTCATAAAAACCCACGAGTTGAAAGGTCCTAGCCTAATAAGCGATAGCGATAACAAATATCACAAGAGCTGTCGAGTGTCAAATAAAAATAAAATAAAATAATAATAAAAATCATAATCAAATAATCACATAAAATAATAAAATCAACACAGCAAGAGATCGAAACAGTCGTAATCCCATTTCTTCCGCAGTGAATGGAGAACCGATGGCTGTCGACTCGAGACGAGTGCCTCCAGCAAACACCACGCCTCTTGCGTCTGCGAACATCTCACCAGCTTCGCCATTCTCATGGACTATCACGAATACGTGGTGAGTGCGCAGTGAGTTCCGGGTGAGGTGGCCTGGTAAACATAGCTCGTGTCACCCGGTACTCGCACACACCTGGGAAGCCGACCAACCCGACCCCCCCCCCCCCCCCACACACACACACTCAAAGATCCGTGGCGACCCCCCTGATCGCAAGAGCTGTCGAGTGTCTGTAATGAAATCAACACAGCAAGGGATCGAAACAGTTGTTAGGTCCGGGACAGAACTTGGCTATCGAAATGTTTGGGCAAACAATGTGTGATAATGCGATGGCCGATCAGCACTGATGTTACCTCACTGAATAGCGTTCACCGAATCTATTTATAATATGGATGAAGCTTTACTAACGCAAAGCCGAAATGGAGCAGATTTAGAGCTTGGAAGGTCAAGTCCATCCTGCAATTCAGCTGGACAAGTTTCAGATGTCTCAGACCTCAAACTTCACACGCCTCATTATCGTTCCTCTGCTTCTCAGGGAACACCCGAGTCCCTGAACATGCTGACCTGGGTGCTGGGCTCACTGTCACTGATCGGACTCGTCATCACCTGGATTATTTTCACGTGCAACAGGTAAAGAAACTCAGCCATTATCAACATTAGCGAACCATTAGCGAGTGCTTTGGTTCTTTCTGGTGCCGAATTCTTTGAATAATCTTTGAAACGTGGTCCTCAGAACTATACGCCGTCTTTTTAGCATGAACCTATGGGCCTAATGTGCGCCCTTCCGACACTCTGCGCCAGGTCTCTGCGGTGCACGCGCACCACCATCACTCGCCACCTGTGCGCCACGTACGCCGTCGGGCTGACGCTGCTGCTCACCGTGATGGATCGGCGACTGGTCTATCTGGAGCCGGCGGCCTGCACCGTCGCCGGCATGGCCATCCACTACAGCTTCCTGGCCGTGTTCGCCTGGACTATGGTCGAGGGCATTCACCTGTACAAGGTGCTGCGACACGTCTTCGAGCCCAGGAGCAACTCGATGACTAGGTGGGTTGGTTGCCGGTTGGACACCGCTTGATAGTAAACTTACCGCAGCACGGTGCAGTGAAGCTTTTGAAGAAAATTCAACCTCTAAAAGAAACTTGTAACCCATATGACACGCAAGCTCCGCACTCTACAAATAGTTATTTAATGCTTAGCTGAGAACCTAATCACTAATCAGCGTCCAGCGATGTGCTTTTCCCTATGAGCTTCTACCGTAAAGTATACTTAGATTCGGTTTTACGGCCCGTCCTTTCACCACTTACAGGTACTACATGTACGGCTACCTGCTGCCGGCCCTGATTATCATCGTTACCAACACCGTGGCGCTGGCCGCCGACCAGTATGCCTACGTCAGGGATGAATTGTGAGTCGGCCGTCAGCTACGTCAGCTACCGTCAGCAGCTCAGTTTCACGCCAATTGTGTCAATACGGAGAGGCAACAATGTTAAACCTGGTACGATGCGATTCGTTACGACCTTATAGTATTATAGAAGTAGAAACGGATGCAGAAAACAAAACCTTCAAAATGTATCATTCATTATCTAAGCTTCAGCTCACCGCGGTAATTATTCACTTGATTCAAAATGTGATTCAAACTCCACCAACCTATTCGTTGCAGCTGTTGGCTAACGGTTCCGTACTTCATCTGGTTCTACAACGGTCCGATCGCCGTGGTGCTGATCGTAAGTATTGCTTGCATACTTCCTGACGTTCAAATGGATGCGCCGAAAGTGCCTTTAATCCATGTCCTTTTTAAAAAATTCATTCTTGGCTTGTATATTTTTGCTCGGTCGATTTGGACAAAGCCTTTCAAAGTAGCGTGTAGTGTCTTCCGTCTACGGGCTGGTAACCTATAACCAAGAATCCATAAACAAATCGCCCGTACACCGTGTGAGGTCGCTGGCAGCAATAGCTCTAGTCAGTATCGCCACCAGTGTGTAGGTGGCGGCACCGGTCCCATATCAGGCCACCGGGCTAGAGTTCCTCACGACTGGTCGAAACGGTAACTGACATCGTGCCGGTAGCGGATGTCATTGCCTCTGTCCCCGTCTCCGGCAGATGAACATGTTCGTGCTGATCCTGGCGTACCGGTCAGCCGCCTCGCTGAAGGTCAACAAGCTCAGAGCCAAGAAGGAGAAGCTGAAGCGCTGGCTGAAGGGCTGGTTCTCACTCTCCTGCCTGCTCGGCGTCCAGTGGGCGATCGGATACATCTACGTGGACGGGTCCAGCGTCTTCGACTACATCTTCACTGCTCTTAACTGCTCACAGGTGAGTCAGGAAGATCAGTTCTTGGTGACTGGTGAGCTCCAGGCGGGTCTTGTTTCGGAAGATATGTACATACTTTTGCAATATGTGCCCTCGTGTACAGTCCACAATCTCCACATACACAAAGGATGCAGCATGAGTGGCTTCTATATGTCGTTACAATACAATATCTATAGTGTTCCGCTAACGATGGGCGTCAGATCAGCTTCAGACGACGACCGCAAGACTTGAGAGACTACTTTTGTTTGGAAAGAAGACGGTGAAACGGATAAATGAATATGAATCCAATTTGGAACCCGAGCATCCGATGCTGTCTCGCATTGATAAGGCACGTCACTCTTTTTCGATGCGTAGTCTCTCGCGGAGTTCCGATACTGCTGGCCCGTCTAGACAATATGTATAGCGCCTCATGTTCTGGGATCCGAGCATCTGATGCTATCTGAGCATCCATAATGCACGTCAGTCTCCTTCGGTCGGAGTGCGGCATTGCACAGGCCGAGGCCACTGTTCGTATCCGCGTGTCCCGTTCCCGTGTAGCGATAGTCACCGGTACCTATACCTGCTAGCAGGCCCAGTGTCACACGGAAGGATCACCCTGAGCAAACCGACACGTATTGCATACTACATAAGTCTCGCTGAGCCTGGCGACAAGACAACGCCTCACGGCATCTCGGTATTCCTGGTCCATCTTCAAGGACAATATAGTGCATCACAAGGAAGTTCCAGCTTTTGGCTCGGCGCCGATGTTTAGTAGTAAAACAGTGACGTCGAGTCTATCACATCAAAAACCGGTTTGGGGCTGCTCTAAAAACCTGCACCTCTATCGTGTCCGGTCCCCATGGAGGCGCCATCAGCAGTGCGCGGCCTGGTCCATAGCACGCGGTTGGCGCGTGTCGGCGGTGTCCGGTCCCGTCAGTGTACCCGCGCCAGGGCTGCGGTCAGTAACGTATTGGCACTGTGCAGTGACTCGGAAACTGGTGCAGAAGCACCACCCTACTCAGCGGGATCCCTGCAGTGGCCACTGGCCAGGGTAGTCGCTCGCCGTGGACATTCTACCACTGACGCCGCCAGGTACACAAACGTCGGTGGGGTCGATAGGGGGTCGATACTGGCACCAACACTTCACGGCATGCCGGACGGTGGCTTTGTTCGAGGGCGCATTCATGAATCGAATGGACTTGTTGTTGTGTCGTGCTATGTAGCTAGGAATTTAGTAGTCTCTTCCTTTTGTGAAATTGTATTTCTGTACACGGCAAAGCTGCGGTAAGGACTTCTTCTTCCGGTAATACATCTCGAGCGTGGACGTGTGCATCTGAACTCCGACAGAACATGGCGACGAAGATGTGAAATTAACTCACGAAGCACAAATCAAGTATCCAAATTGTTCTTGCTACGATTTGAGTGCTAAAATTTTTACGTGAGAACTTGCGGTGTCCACTTCATGGAAGGTATTTCAGCGCCTGCGGCGTTCCTGGCGCACCCGGGTCGTCCTCCCGTGGCGTTCAGGCAATGGCGGTTCGCCTTCGATACCTATCTGCTGGCGATTGGAGGCAGGGAGTTCTCCGCTGAACGTCAAAAAGCAGTATTGCTACACTGCCTTGGCCAGGAAGGTCAAAGAATATATCAGACTATCCCAGATATGGAAAGACTGGACGGTGAAACAGAACTGGATTTCACCATGCGGAAACTGGAAGGACATTTTGAACAGCAAGTGAATCCGATTGCTGAAAGATTCAAGTTCAGACAAAGGCGCCAAAGAGAAGGTGAGAGCACAGCAGATTTCGTAGCAGACCTTAGGGGTCTCGCTGCCAACTGTGCCTTTCGAGATATGGCAGACGAGATGATCAGAGACCAAGTGGTAGAGGCAACCATCCACGACAGGCTGAGGGAGAGATTCCTCCAGGACTCAAGACTGACACTCGCCTCAGTGCTGGCTGTGTCTGAGGCGTACGAACGCTCCAAGCAGGAGGCCCAGAGCATGGCAGGACCAGCCAACGCAGAAGAAGTCGCTGCCAACCATCTGCGGCAGAGGCAGGGACCAACGGCACAGCACAGGCGTCAGCAGGGGCAGCAGCACCGGACTCAGCCAGCGGTCGGGGCTCGTCCGAAGCAGGGCCCTGGCCAGCCGCAGCAGCAGCGGAGAGGACCTGGAGCTGGAGGTCAACCCAAAGGACAACCAGGGCCAGACTTCAAGTGCTTCTGCTGTGGTATGGCAGGTGACCATTACCCTCGTGACCCAGTGTGTCCTGCCAAGGGTAAGACCTGTCATAAGTGTGGCAAGAAAGATCACCTAGCCAGTGTCTGCAAAGGTCCTAGGTCAGTCAGGACAGTGTCCATAATGTCAATCAACTCAAAGCTCCCTAAGAGCACGAGCCTGACCAAAGAGGTAGAGCTAGGTGGAACATGTGTCAAGTTTCTGGTAGACACAGGCTCACCAGTTACACTTGTGCCTCACAGTGCGCTCGGTCAGGACACGGAGCTTCGTGCACCTGAGAAAAAGTTGTGTGGCTATGGGGGCTCGGAGCTGAATGTGCTGGGCATGACAGATGTGTACGTAACTCAACTAGGTAGACAGGTGCCAGTGTATGTAGTGCCCAAAGGAACACCGATCATGGGACTGGATTTGATGGGGTTGCTAGGGGTAAATGTTGTCAATGGGGAAGTGTGCACCCTGAACCAAAAAACCTGCCCATCCAAACCTGCTATTGACGGATACGTCCACAGGGTTACAGTCGATCCGACCGTTCGGCCAGTCCAGCAGGCTCTGCGCAGGCTGCCCTTCTCAGTCCGAGATGAAGTGTCAAGCAAACTGGCAGAGATGGAGGCCGAGGGCATCATCGAACGGGTGCAGGCCAGTCCGTGGGTGTCGCCCATCGTGGTCGGCAGAAAGAGGACTGGCAAGGTGAGGTTGTGCCTAGACCTCAGACAGGTGAACAGGGCAGTGGTAACAGATGGGTACCCCTTGCCACACATGGACGAGTTGTTGCATGCCCTACAGGGTAGCAGCATCTACACCGTCCTGGACCTCAAGGATGCTTACCACCAGGTGGAGCTGCATCCTGACTCCAGAAACTTGACGGCTTTCATAACCCATGAGGGTTTGTTCAGGTACTGTCGGGTGCCAATGGGCCTTGCCTCCAGTGGTCCGTGCTTCCAGAGGATCATGGAGGACATGCTGAAAGGGATCCCAGGGGTGCTTGTGTACCTTGATGATGTGGTTGTTCACGGTGCCACAAAGGATGAACATGACCAAGCACTGAAGCGGGTGGAAGCTGTTTTCCAGGCACACCAGGTGCAGGTCAACCAAGAGAAGTGTCTGAGGGCCCAGACAGAGATCAGCTTCCTCGGGCTGAAGGTGTCGGCAGGCAAGCTGACAGTGGATCCAGAGCGGGTCAGGCCGCTGCTGGAGATGCCAGATCCGGCATCCCACAAGGAACTCCGATCACTCCTCGGCTCACTGGGCTTCTACGCCAGGTTCGTGCCTCAGTACACTGAGAAGACAGCCGTGCTAAGAGAAGCACTGGCTGCTGAGAACTGGTCATGGGGTGAGTCAGAGGCTAAGGCGGTGAGGGAACTGAAAGGGGAGGTGGCCAACTCAAGTAGTCTGGCACTGTTTGACCCTGCTCTACGCACGCTGGTGACCACTGATGCCTCAGACGTCGGCTGTGGGGCCTACCTCAGTCAGCTCAGAGCCGATGGTGAAGAAGTGGTAGTGGCCTACACTTCTAAAAAGTTCTCGAAGGCCGAGCTTAACTATTCAGTAGTTGAAAAGGAGGCGTTGGGGTGCGTGTACGCGGTCGAGAAGTGGCGTCCGTTCCTTTGGGGACGGCGGTTCACGCTCCGAACGGACAACCAGGCACTTACGAGTGTGTTTGGTCTCAAAGGTTCTAACAGAGTCGGTCGTCGTATCGCTCGTTGGGAAGCACGGCTGCTCGACTACTCGTTCGATATCGAGCACATACGGACGCAGGAGAACCCAGTGGCAGATGGTCTGTCTCGCATGCCGGTGACTGACGACCACTGGGATGATGACGATGCGGTCGATGTTGCTGTCATCTCAGATCAGACAGGTGCAGTGACTGAAAGTGAACTGCGCCATGCTTCAGATTCTGATGCGGTGCTGACGCAGGTTCGGGAAGCCCTCCAGACTGGACGCTGGAGTGGCCAGATGAAGTCAGACCAGGGAATGCGACCGTACTTCCAGGTGAGGTCTGAACTCTCGTGTCAGGGTGAACTGGTGTTCAGGGGCGACAGGTGCGTTGTCCCAGTGGCTCTGCGTGACCGACTCATGCAGCTGGCTCACGAGACCCATCCAGGGGTGGTGAGAACCAAACAGCGGCTCAGGGAGCGCTACTGGTGGCCGGGCATGGACGCGGCGATTGAGTCACTCCTGCATAACTGCGCGCTGTGCAGCTTGCATGGGAAGTCAGCCAAGCCGTGCAGGCCGCCGCTCCAGCGGGTAGCCATGCCGGCAGGCCCGTGGTCTAAGGTGGTCCTGGACGCTATCGGACCGCTGAAAGGACCAGCAGCTGAACGCTACGGGCTGGTGCTAGTAGACGGGTTCAGCAGGTGGCCGGAGGTGGCGTTCATGTCCGAAGTGACGTCATCCGCCGCGATCGAGTTCCTTCAGGCGGTGATTGGCAGAGAAGGCATTCCGCAGGAGCTGTTATGTGATAATGGGTCAATATTTACTTCACAGCAGTTCCAGGAGTTCTGCTCAGCTCAGGGAATCAAGCTGGTCCACAGCTCACCCTACTCTCCACAGACCTGCGGACTGGTGGAGAGGTTCAACCGGACGGTGAAGGACGCCATCGAGTCTGCTCGGATCTCAGGACAGTCACGGACTCAGTACGTCAGGGCATTCCTGCAGACATATCGGTCCACAGTCCATCCAGCGACTGGGGTGTCTCCGTTCAAGGCGATGCGTGGCCGTGATATGCGCACCAAGCTGGGGGTGCCGGGCGGAGCTGACGCTCACCCCTCGGGGGTTGACGGGGGGCAAA